ATGTCACACCGTTGCTCCTAGATACGCATAGACCCAGCAATCTTTTCCCGCCGATAGCAACCGCTTTTGTTTGTATGTGTTTGTTGTTTCCTGTTTCGGCCATAACACACCCGTCATGGCCGCGCTTCGTTCTTTCCTTCCTCGTCCATGTCCTCCGTCTCCTTTCCGGGTTGCGCACGACCCTAACTGTCCATCATTTCCGCTTTCGTACTATATCTTCTTTCCTGTTTTGTTTTAGCTCCTCTCGCTGTCGCTTTGTCCCCCTGCTCGCTCCTCTAATCTTCATGGCGTTTTTCTTCTATCTTCACTTTCTCGCCGTCCTGGTACATGGCCTCACCCTCGCCTACTCATCTTCACTGTTCTGCCCCTCCTCCCCGACTGATTCATCAGCCTCTTGTTTACTGCCGCCCCACACACCGCCTCTTTTCATGCTCTTCGTACATCATGCACCACATCTCCAAGGGCACCTCTCTTCTCTGGCATCCCTCTGAGTGCGTACTGACCTTTAACTCACTCCGTGCTCCTTGTTGACTGTCCGCTGACTACAAGGTAGTCACTCTTCTCCTTCACGGCCGACCCTGCCGTTCAGGGCCCCGTCGGCGTTACCTGCGTGCTTGGCGGCCTCGCCACTCACATAGCATCTCGCCCATCGTTCACGCTGAGAGAAAGTCACGCGCTAATACATTCTTCAATCAGCCAAATTGATACGGACTCCGGAAGAATCTCGTTGTCTCCGTGCGAGGAGGGCGTTGTAGCATAAGGTATAAGTTGAAAAACCCAGATCAACGAGACGCTGAAGCCATGACTATCCAGGTTTCACGAGCTGTTGTGGTGATGTGCTTTGGCTCCGGCCGACTTGGTACTCTGCGTAACATGCAGTTGGATGCAAAAAGAGGTTGAAGGAAATATATAGATGCAAGGCGGGAGCAGAGGCATCCCAACATCACTCTTTCCTCGACCTACATCACCCGTCTTGAGCGGACCTAGCTATGTGTAGTACTTCTGATCCCTCAAAATATCGCATAATGTGGCGTATCTCCGCTCATATCTTTTCCTCGGTCTTTCCCTTTGCTTAGTGACACAGTTCATCATTCACCGCCTCGCCATATTGGCATCATAGACAACAACGCGCGCTTGGACAACATCGCAGCAGGTTGAAGTGGCCTTCGCGCGAGCGCTCACGGCCATATCTTCATTCGCCGATCAGTGGTATCCAGACCGTAACTGACTACCTCACGGCAGGCCTCGCCGCAAATGGCGTATTTTCCCATGTGCTCCGCCATGTAGCCCGCTTTACTCCATGGCCAGACATCTCGGCAACGCAGGGTCCATGTATCAATCCTTGGGCGCTGAGCGCTCATCTACCTTCGCATACCGGAGACCGCGATGCGATCTGTTCCGGATCCTACTCGGCCTGGATTGGTGAGGTCTGGCTCACATACGCTTGCTTATAGCATGTGCGTATTCGTTTTCTAAGATGTGCTTTCCTGCGGTATGAAACGACCCCCAGAGAATCCTACACGGCAACGCGACGGCCCCCGAAGCGGATCGTCACCCTCCAAACGACTGCGTATTGGTCTAGGAGCTTCAAGTGCATCCACTTTTTCGACCAGCTCGGCGCCTCTCAGACTCGCTCAGACTACTCTCTCATTCTGTCATGTCAAGGACACTCGTACGGCGGTCCCTGCCCTGCATCAGCAGGCTCGCGTTCCGCAAGCGTTCGCCGGTGCCGGCGGAAACTCTGTGTTGAGTTCATGTGTTCTGGAGGGACTGGGAAAGGACAAACTTGCTCGCGCTTTCCAACGTCCATTCGGAGGGGTTGCTCTTCAGGACGCGGATCGCTTAGGTGGAGGTAAGACTTCGGATATGTCTGTTAGGCTGGATGCTCATCTTGCAAAGGAGACTCTGAGCATGCAGAAAATGATGCTCCTCTCGTCGATGGCGAATGCGGCCCCGCAGACGATCAGCTCGAGAAAGAGCCTGCAACGCAGGGCCTGGGAAAACGGATCCGAAGCATCTTGACGGCGAGTGATACCCTTATTCATAGCATTCGCTGATCAGTTCATGACGCACACACGTAGAACTTTCCGATTAGAAGATGGGCTCTTTCATGGCGCGACATATACTTGAATGAGGCTATCAGACTGGATGGTCGCGCGGACGCGCTTGGGTTATCGCGCTGCCCGGGTTGCAATAAGGAGGGCTTCCCAGACCACCGGTGTAGAGACTGCCTAGGGACGAACTTGTGTGCTGATTGCATCAAACATTGGCATCGGTACAATCCGCTGCATACTATCGAGGTATGGCTGCGTAGTGTCAACATCTACTGCATATTCTAAAGCTTTGTAGCGATACAATGGCGATTTCTACCAGAAGATACGCTCAGCAGATCTGGGTATACGCATTCAACTCATGCACCCACCTGGCGAGGTTTGTAGCTTCCGTGCCGTGCATCGGGTCGAGGACTTCACGGTTATACATACGAATGGCATACATCGCATCCCTGTGGACTTCTGCGGCTGTGAGAGAGGCGCAGATGTTCCATACCATATCCAACTTATGCGTCTACGACTCTGGCCCGCAACTTGCGTCAACCCGCACACCGCGACTAGTCATGAGGCTCTGGATACATTCACGCGCATCTCGTTGATAGGGCGCCTGAACGTGTACGACTACTATAAAGCACTTGTAGCCGCATCCGACGGTGCCCGTCTTGGTGTAATTGGGGTAAGCCTATGCAGAAGTTTAGTTACCCGGATGCTGAGCCATCACATGTGTAGGATGTCCGGCAACAGCTTACAACATGTGTGCGAGAATTCCGACATATACTCATGTATAAACGCGCTGGCCGTGGACATGAGCCGGGGGGTATTGCTGCGACACCTTTAGGAGCCTGCGCGCTGCGCTGTCCTGCCTGTCCCAACTTCGATTTGAATGTACCACTGAACTGGGCTGCAAGTCCCTTCCGGTATGTGTAACACGGTGCTTTTGGAAACAGATGCTGACGTGGGCTGAATAGCTGGCTTTATAGGGTCATACTTTCCATGGATGCCAACTTCAGACTCAACAACAAACTGACCAAACATGAAGATCGCGATCCTAACCTTACGGACGGTTCCGCATACATGGCTCCGCCAATGGAGTACGACAACTACCTCAAAGCAACGGAGGGCCGCGACCAGGCCGAGCCGGTATGACGTCCCTTCTTGAGCTCTCTTGCCGTTCCTGACGCTGACAGCCAAATGATTGCTCTCGATTTGGGGCTCTGGTGCTTGCGAACATGAGAGGCGGAAGGGGAATGCGTACCACTGGCATAGCTGGTTGCTTCTGCGCACGCCATGAATTCGTGCAGCCGCTAGGCTTGGCCACTCTTACAAAAGGAGAACGGTACGTCCTGAGGATTACACCAATCTCTCTCGCATCATAGCCTGGAACTTACTTCGCATTAGGTATAGCACGATGGACTGGGTCTTCTGCGGCGCACTATCTTTCTTGCGGTGTGCGGAGGTCACCGTTTGCTATGATATCGCGTGTCAATGGAGCAAGAATCTCAGCGAGCGCATACGCAGAATGCAACCGAGCTGGCTTGTCTTTCCCGGAGCTGCGCAGTTCATCAAGCTTCATGTCGACAGGGCCATCACCTACGCAGTCCCGAAGTTCCACCTCTACGCGCACAAAGTTTTCTGTCAGTTACGATACGCGCTCGGCTTGATGCTCGGCACCGGTGCTACTGACGGTGAAGGGTGCGAGCGTATCTGGTCCGGTGCGAATCCAGCGGCGTCTAGTCTGCGCGAGATGGGAGCGGGCGGCATGAGTGACACTATGGACGATATGTGTAGTTTGTGGAACTGGAGGAAAACATGTGGAATAGGTAATTGATCTAGATTTCACGATGCATGCGAGACACTCATGGCCTTGCTTAGCCAATCTACTCTGCGGTCGTATGGAGCGTGCGCTGGAGAACGGTGCTACGCAAACGGCAATCTTCACGGAGTTCACAGCAGCAATCGAGGCGGAGAAGCCCTCCAGAGTATCCCAGGCACGAGCTGCAATCAGGGTATGGGAACAAGACGCTGTGAAGAAGGAAGGGACGCCATGCCCGTACTACTCCGAGAGTGCAGGTATTCTATTCTCCGTAGTTCGCCTTCCATGTATTGAGTTCGTACCCCGTTAGAGCTATCAGTCGCCGAGATCAAACTTCAGGCCGAACAGGCGCAGGGCTTGTCGCCTCTTGACACCGCATCGCTTTATGTGGAAGAAGAGGCCTCGTTAATACTATTCCTCGCGCATGGGTTTGACATTGAAGATGCCAGGCATGTATTCAGGTTAAGGACTCGTCGCTCATACTCATTCATCTTGGCAGGCAGTCATTCTACGCGAAGCATAAGCTGACCGGGGGAACCGTCGAACAGAGCAGAGCTAGGACGCACGACTTGAACGAACTACGACGCGACATCCTGAGGTTCCGGAGGGAGCAAGAATCTCACATGCCCGGAGTTTACGCCGCCCTTACGCTGGACGAGCGCGATCCGGATCGGCTGCATTCATTGAAGGTCAAGTTATACTTGCCGTCAGATCCTCCCGCTCAAGATAAGAGTATGATATCAGCTACAGATCGTGCCATGGAAGCTAAGTTGAGGTGGGCGTCGATGGTGGACATGCTTCGTGACTTGCGACACCAGCTACGCCTCAAGGGCCGCCTCAACAGATTCAAAATAGCGAACATTGAGGGCCAGCACAGTAACACTCGCGCTCGCGATGCACAAGACACTGTGATCGCCAACGTCCAGAAGGCGGCGAAGGCCTATCGGCGCCATCGCGCTGCCTACCTCAAGTTGGTCGGGCCCGGAAAGGGTGGGTGGGAGGAGACGATGCGCGAGCTCAAGGACAGCGACTGTCGCGGTTTGGGAGATCGCCTGCTCGAGCAGATGGAGAACATGACAGAGGACAACGTCAAAAAGTTCTTGGCGGGGAAACGAGGCGCGGAGTCATCCGGGGAGACGCAGTATGAGCTGCCATGGATCTGGTTTAACCACACCGAGGAAGCGGGACTTGAGATCACGGATGGTAAGTAGTGCCTGTTGCTCACTGTCTTGTGCTATATGTTTGACATACGTGATCAGAACTTATGGTCGAATGGTGCAAATCCCGTGCTCGGGCGCAGCACTGGATACAGGAAGTTCGTCTTCTCGACGAAGAGATGCGCCGCGTCGTCGTTTTCAGCGAGAATATGGCGAAGCTTTGGGATGCGCGCCGCGAGCCTCAGGACCGTATGGACTTCGGTGAAAAGCATGCCTATGCTTCTGACGATGGATGGGCAGATGGAGCGCGGGCCTATGCTTGTAAGCAATCGTGGATTCGCCGCACCCAAGCTTCAACTTGGAGCGCCCAATTCACTGACCTCCGAGCGACCGCTCATCGCTTTCTCTCGCTGCATACCACTGAGGGTTTATCGGTCGGGGCATTCGATCTACGGGCGGGGTCAATGGCAGATGCTATGACGCTCGGTGAAGAGGGCCCTCAGCCTGGTGCCGCGGCGGAGGAAAGCGTGGGATTGCGAGGCGGCGAAGCGTCACAGCAAGAGCAGAGTGAGCCGAGTGCGTCTCAGCCTCAGGTTCTGTCACATCGTCCCGACAAGCGGACAAGGGTTCGACGTAAAGAACGCAACGTGAAGAAACAATAGAAGGGTGGCCTCCTTACAGTCCGTTCGATATCGTGTATCCTGGTATAAGATGTTGACGGCGAAGCCGGCAAACTCCAGCAAACTTGATGCGTGATACAGACTTGACAGGTCCATCTTAGTGCTGAACATCATCCCTTGTTTACGATGTGCAATTGAAATGATGGACGAGACATCTCACTGAATTCTTGAATTTGGACAGTAAGAATGCGTAGATGTCCTTGTTCGACGAATGTTTCAGTGAGCTACATGATAACATGGTAACAACGCGACGCCGGTAAATGTGCCGTAAGCCCGTGTCACCGAAATCAAACCAGGGAACTAGGAATAATGAATGCTTCTTCAGCGACGACATTGACGTCAAGGTCCACGAGGTATCGATGGAACTGGGGAATAAGCGAGACTCTAGCTAGAGCCCGGCCTCACGTATGAGATGGGATACCTGAGGGGTTGGGTCAGCGTCACTGTGCAGATACGGCGCGAAGTGGCGCATACCAAAGATTGAAGACCGACATCCGTCTAGGCAGTCGTGGAGTGCATGAATTTGCGTGAGTCGCGAGCAGTCCTGCGAGACCGCTCGCTAGCATGCGTCTACAGTTCGAGTTGCTCGTCGCAGGCAAGATGCCCCTCATTGGAGGCCGAGCGCAGGCTCGCCTCGTTATCTGCATGGGCCGCCAGAACATGAACATACGGGGAGACGCCTATGAGGTGGAGATACGTACGGATTGGGAGGGCTGCCTCTCGTCTTCTTCGATGCAATCGGAAGTACTGTGGGCGGGAGCTGAACGTTGCGCTGAAGCCTAATGGCGAGGACGACGGACGTTAGTGCATTGCAAACTTGTCGACTACGATTCTCTTACTAGACTCGTACTCGGCCACGACCGACGGACTTGAAGGCAGCGTGGGCGCGCCGTCGCTTGTGGACATAGAGCGCGCAAGAAAAGCTGGCTGGATTGGGGCGGCGAGAGTAAGGCATCGTCTCTAGAGGTGCCGGAGGGTTTGGATAGACTATCCGCCGCGGCATAGCCGTGGACAAAGCCGCGATTGTAGCAGCACGTTCGTCATCTTTGCGGTGACGATGCCGGCTGACCGTCCCATGTAACGGTGGCGGTGTGAGCAACGGCTTGATGCGCCAGATCGACTGATGAGGATCTTGCGTGGGCAAGAAGGCCCCAGCTACGACGCACTCGGCGCGTCTCTGCTCGGCCAGGAGCGCCTTCACACGGAGCGAGCTACGGGCGTTGAGACAAAAAGTCGGTCTTAGCCATGGGACGAGACAGAAGGAGAGGCGCAATGGGGAGGTAGAAAGGCGGGTGCACCATACCGGGATGATGTTGGTCGGGAGGGATGATGGTGGTCGGAAGCATGTCGCGTCTTCACTGAACTCGTCGCTGAGGTCGTGCCCGAAGCGTGGGGCGTCTTTATCTTCGCACGCATGGCATCTCTGCGCACGACGCGACTCGAACGCGCTTGCGGTCTGACTTCACGCGTGCGTATACGCGCGTTGGCCCCAAGTCAGGTGCACCGTGTTCTCGGGCTTACAATCCTAAGTCCTGGAAAACCTTGGCTTTATCTACGCAGCTCCCCTGTGCGAAAAAAAAACCGGACCTGAGCGGGAAAAGGTGTCCTCTCCATTCGCAGTCACTATCCTCAGCGGGATACCTAGGCGTCAATAGCCATCTCCATACTCAACCGTTAGCTGTCCGATCTTCCGGAGCTGGCCGATCCCATCGCATCAAGGAATTGGTCGTCCCCATCGCTATTGCAGCGCTGTGTTTCCGACCACCATGATGAGAACGGACGGCTTGTAGACGTGACGCACAACTCTCAGGACACGGCCGCCCCTCCAGAGAAAATATGCTGGTATATGCACTGGCTATGTTCGTGACCCGATCTAACCGATGTGCGGCGGCTCTGGTCTCTTGGTACTTCGCCTCTGCTTTTCACGACTTTCGTCCATCCTTCTGAGCTATTCCGGCTTTCGATTCACCCTACGACGCGTCAATAGCATGAGTTCTATCACTTGAAGACTCCCTACACTGTTTTAGAAGCACATGGTGGCGTCCTCCGAATAAGGGCTGCAAGCATGACTGATGCTCCTCGGATAGGTTGCGCCTCTGCTTTTATTTGCATCGGCTTCTGATGATCGAATACCGCCACACATGTGCTAGTGGGTTGCCTCGCTCCGTTCAGCCCCGTGCTTTGTTAACCACTTCTTCCAGCATCCATGGAACGTATCCAGCAGTATGGTTCTGGCACATCACCCAACCCCAGTAAGAGTCTGGGCACCGGTCCTTCCACCAGAGAACCCTCGAAGGTATGTTCCGGCCTCGATTGCCTCGATAAGCGCAATTGTCCCCAAGGACTATCTTCACGAGCGCAGCAAAGGCTGTTGTTCGGATGACGCCGCTCGTGCGCATCGGCAGGGCATCAGCTGTCTACCTTGTACTGCCAGTCCGGTTGCATTGCGGCCTCCCTCGGATATACCTGCGTGTCTACTCGTTCTGGGTCGTGTACATCCGCCGCTGCATGCTAAGGATAACCGCTGGCGAAGCCGTCGATGATCTCTGGTACGAGGTTGGTCACCCGGCTCGGCGACACACGCGTCAGGGTGTCCTTATGTACGCAGGTGGGTGTCATAGCACCATCTTGATGATGACGAGCTGACCTGACTATGCTCAACCCGGCGCAGACGTTTACACCCCTTTCGTGAGCTTGAATACCCACCCTTACCCTGATCTTGTGATTGTACTTGATGTGCTTGCAGTAGAGTCCATCAAACGTGCGGTACGACTTCCTATCTCATGCACAAGCATGCCCTTGACATGTCTGACGAAAATGTAGTCTAGAAGGATGCAGCCCGGCAACTATCAACTCATCGATACTTGCGATACTCTCAAGACTCAACGAGCGCCGGTCACAACGCAATCTGCAGTCGTCGTACCTCGCACCCAACGCAGAGATCTTCCGCTATCTTGAGATAATGGAGCCTCGGTCAGGGGTCCTCATATCATTTGCCTCAATCGGGGTACTCACGACCTGCTCAATGGAATAGAGAAGTCCCACGCTCACAAGAGTACATACCTATGAGACTCGCGATTGGTCGTATGACGCGCATCTACATTTGTATAGCAACAACTGAAAGCGATATACGTGGACCCCGATCAAGTCCAGGACTCCCAGAAGTATAGTATACCGTTCTTTAGGACAGTCTTGAGATGCGCTGGTGGATTCGTTATTCCTGGTCTCTGGAAGGGAGCAGGTTTCATTTGAGCCTTACCAATAGATACGTGAGCTGCGGCACGTGGATCGGGCCGAGTGTCCGACGTTCGAATCTGGCCGCCCCGCCTTCGTATATACACAGCAGGCCTCTGACAAGTGCTGGAGCCCTCATTCCTACCGCATGAAATCCATTTTTGTGTGGGAGCCGAAGGCTCAGACGAGTCTGTCCTGTAGACGTCGAAGCCACTGCGCCGGTTGGTCCTGAAGGTCTCATGAAATGGAATCATACATGATCATTGAGGACATACAACGGTCTGTGCTTTTCCCATCATCCTCTAGTGCTGGTCCTTTCATCCCGTTATCTCCTTCATCACTACCGCTCACAGCATTGTCAGATGCACCTCGACCCTGCGTAGTACGTGTCAACCCGCACACCCCTTTTCGATGCTCCGCATCTGTTTATCCACCTCTCCTGACTGAGCCACCGGTATACATAACTCCGGTCCACCTCATATGCACGGCTTGCCACAGCTTGACTGACTCCTGTGATGACGAAGGCCTTGCTCAGAGATGTATGTGAACTACAGCAACAAGTGAACTGTACTGCTATCTCGCTTCCGCCTACACAATCGTGAATGCCGCGATAAACGCTCCACTATCTGTGCGAGCGATAATGCTGCACACTGTCGTACAACCCTCGTACCCGGAACCTCATCCCGTCATCTCTGCCCACATACACATCACCAGGCTTCTCCGACCTATCGGGATTGTTTCTACCACGCACGCAGCTCCTGTTTCTCAGCGCTCAGCGCCCATCGGCCTCCGGCGCGGTAAAAGAAAGTCGAACCAGTGCCACGTGATACGGTCCTGAAGAAGCACCAGTTCAATTCACTGACTTGACTCTCCCCTCATCCTTCACTCTTAACGCCTCGGGGTAGTCTTCACAATTACCGAGAGCATGCTTGCCGACTCTACCAGCTTGACGCCTTCCACCCCCAGAAGCAGAAAGGCACCCTATTGCCAGATTTGCAAAAGGCCTCGTAAGGGTCACCCTCGCTCAGGTTGCCCAGAACTACCGTCTACCCGTGCAGTGCAAACCGCGCCTGCTGTCGACCTCTGCATCGCGGATGCCCTGGCTTCGCTCAGCATCGGTCAAGATGCAGAAACCCCGCCCACCTCAGCCAGTCTCCTTCCATCAACCGTCACCACTCGGGACCCCTTCATGAGAGCGAAGATTCGGGAGAGACAAGGTCGCATGATGCCGGGAACTCTGTTTCCCCCGACGAATAGCCTCCTCTCCTCGGAGCCACCAAGCCCTCAAATCAGCCAGTCTACGCTGCCTTGGAACCCGGAGGATCATACGGAGGACTTGAAGGCTCATACCGAGCGATCACCTTCCGCGTCGCAACTCGGCTCTCATTCGCCACGTCCATCTGGGCGCTCGGCAAGCATGAGGGCTCGAGAGGGATTTCTGGATGATCTCGATCGCGTTGCTACGCATGTGCCGGTCTCTGTCTACAGCGTGCCGATTGCAGACATAGAGCTATTGGAGCCTTCGGCGAAGGAAGTTGGGTTCCGCACAGCTACGGTCATTCCCGAGAGCAGTGCTACACAGGAAGACGTGGCGTTATTGGTGATTGGCACGGATGGTACGGCGGTTGGAGACGTGTGCGAGAAGCTGCGAAAGGAAGATGCCGCCATCACAAAACGCAGTGGCAGCTCTCGCTTGGTGCAGGTAGCTGGAGGAGCGCTAGTTGGTGCCGCGGCCATATGGGCGAGTTTGGCACTGTGAACTACACGGCTATCCCTCTTGTTTTGTGGGCTCACAGGACGAGTTCTACATGGCCTGGACGCATAGTTATCGATGCATTGCGGATATTGTAACATCTGTGTAGAATACTTCAATAAGCATTGTGAATCATGCTGCGCCGCGAGCCCGAAAGGCCAAGGTCGACGGGACTTGTCCTGTACTTTAGGGTCTTGCTCGAGTACATCGAGTCTAGCGTCCCGAGACCGCCGAGGGTTGACGCTCTATGAGGAGAATAAAACGAACATATGGTTTTTTGACGGACTCTCGTATAAGACCAGGATAATTGTACGGACAACTGAGGTCGAACACTCAGTACTCAGGGGTCTCATAATCAGGCGACGCCCGGTTGAAAGTCGGCGAGAGCTGCTTCTTTCGAGGCCAGCATCGTGATCCAAGGGAATCATTCGAAGACAGGATTATATTACAGTACCGACAAGCACGCTCTTATCACATGGTTCGGGTTGGGCGCGGCGGGTTTCATGATCATTTTACGATCGTACTTGTTCCTCTACATTCATGGCCTCATGGGAGTAAAGTGAGCGAGGCGGTATCGTGTCGTGCATATGAACAATCCTGAAGCCTGGGGGTAGACGGGACGCATATTGGGGGGTGTATGGCGACCCTCAGCAAGAGCTAGGTGGACCGATCGGCGCATGATAGTCGAAGGCGACGCCAGTTGAGCTGGGCAAAGACGCCTGGACTGCGTACCCGTCTTTGGAAACAGACGAGGTGTTGCAAGAGAATCATGTAGTCAACTGGCGGGACCTTAGACTATTCGATGCTGTGAGTCGTCTCGAAAGGTGCCTTTACGATCTCGTCGGTGGTGCTATCGAGATCGTCTCACAGCGTAAGTGACGACGATGGAGCCTTGAAAAGCGAATTGACCGAGGAACCTAGTCGAAGACGCCTTGAACGTCTCGTAGAGAACTGCCTGAAACATCGGGGCGAGATTTTGACTAAGAGCTCCACGTGTGCGAGGGCCGTAAGGAAGACGACGCAGAGCGCTCTCTTTTCGTAGGCCATACCGCCTGTACCCTCAGGAACCGAGCTGTAAGATAGGTGGGTTTGTGGATTACATTCATAATCAGCGCACTGTACGCACTTTCTGTTGCCTCCCATTTACTCCCCCAGCCATGGCGCGCTACTTTCCTTCAGCGCATGGCCGAACTTCTTCCGCACCTCCACAGCATCGGCACCCTAACGGCTAGCATTCCGGTCGCCTCTTTCGCGTATGTCTCTCAAAATGCGTATCATCCACATTGAGAGCGGTGACGATTTACTGCGGGTTGCTTGCGTCCATGCGCGCCTACTGAGTCACCGTAATTCACGAGCCTGAGTAGCGAACTAGTGTCAGTAGCACCGCGCCGCGCCCCACTCGCTAGAGGTACAATCGAAGCTGCTCACTGACGCCAAAGCTTGGACGACTATGGCAAGCAAGGCCCTCGTACGCGAAGTCGCGTGTGTAAGTTGCACTGTGTGTTGCCGGAAGCCCTCGTGGTTGGCGTAGGCGTTCGTATACGAGATGATGAACAGCGTATTTGTTTTGTCGCGACGATATTGAGGAGCTATCGGACGGATTGGTTTGGCGTAAGAACGGACGCGATAGGCCATTCTCAACGGTTGGCGGAAGACGCACATGTAGGGAGCGTCGACCTAAACCTTCGCATGCTGCACACAAGATCAGCATCCCTTTGGTACCGCAAATGTGAGTCAACGAAACTTAGCTGCAGGTGCCAAGTCTACCTACCAAAATCAGGCAAAGAGGCAACCAGCGAGCCCTATCCCTTTCCATCGCGTACTGGTATACGCTCAGTGTGATAACCGGGTGGGGTTCGGAAAGATATAAAACGTAGTGGCTGGAGTAGATGGTCAGGAAGTCTGAGATCCAAGTACCCCATGGGGTAGTCAAGTGGAGCGGAGGTCGACGGCCGTTGAGTGATACGATGGATGGTGGCGCGGCCCAAGTGACATATGCATGTCCGCGTCTTGGCCCCCGCCTTCCCCTTGGGCGCTCGCAGTAGATTATTTAATCCCGCCGACTCACACGCTCATCATCTCAACTCTGCTCAGAATGAACACTCAGGAGCTTGCTGTTGACCACGATCATCTTCCGCACTTTTCTCGATCTGCCACTCTCTCGTTGCGGTCTGCTATACGATGTTTGTCCACGATAACATGTACATCAATGTCTATCAGATATACCTCGGAGATCGGCTAAAGTCCTCCGAGTCATCGGTATCTATGTGGTCGAATTGTCAGGACTCGCCGTTTCCTATTGCCGGAGGTGAGGCCAAAGGCAATGACGTCCTGTGCAATCATGGACACGATGCCGTACATAACACCAAGGACGGGAGCTGGAGATGCCCTACCTGGATCCGAGAGATGGAATGTATCAATCACGGCAACAAGGAGGACGGTATATATTGCGGGTTCTGGTGGAAACCTGAGATGCAAGGAGGTACGATTGGAAGCCCTGCTACATCAAACGCCGCTAACCACTGTTGGCTCTCGGGCGTGTATCCAGAGCGAGTAGCGCATTGGAACCCCGCTTGGGATCGTGTCAGCACATGGGGAACGGTACCCCCGCCTCGGACACTCCGTGATCAATGGCAGCAGTTCCTCAAGGGTGGCTTAGGGGCGCCTGAAGTAGATCCAGCCCCAGAGATCATTGCAGCGCTGAGGAACCAAGGTGAGTTCGGGATTATCTGCACAGCCTCTCCTTGGTGATAGTTGCCAAGCCATCCCGAGGAAAGGAGCAGGTGTGTGACGCACAACTACTAGGTAGCTCATATGCTTACATGAGCGAACAGACGACGTACAACGCAGGTTTTCTATCATCCCGGTACCCTTGACGCGTCCACGCAGTACGTATGATGGAAAGTCAGTGAGCTTCCCACACTTAACGCTAGCTGGACCAGGGCTTTCCTTGTCAATCCCAGGACCATCGACATCACCTTCGAAGGAATCCCAACAGTCAGTCGGTGTGATTCATGGGGTGAGTTCGGTCAGAATGCACGCTATGACTTGAAAAGATCATCCTGGCCTCTTAGCCGCGGGCAGAACATTCATCTTCATCCACTCGACATCTACAACCCTATCTAACGCCACAAGCCATCCCAGCCAGACGAGAGCGCCCGATTTCACCTACTCCACATTCAAGCCCGCCATCTCTGACATCGACGCATAAACGTACGTCGGAGTGATCCAGATCCTTTACTGGTTCTTCGGGACACGCCACTCACGCGTCGGGGTATAGGACGCCGTGTTGTTCTTACAGAGGCTACAGACAGTGAAGCACTGGATAGCGATGTTCAAGGTGAGGCGACCAACTATTCTGGAGTGTTAGCACTGATAATGAGTCACGAATGCTGTTTCATCAGCGATAGTCATGAACACAGCATGGGATATCATCAGTCCGGAAGAGATAGGGTGAGGCCGAGGCCGGCTGGCCAGATGCATCCACAGTTGCTCTCAATGTAGATTGCGTTCGTCCCATGTAGATGCGTCAACGATGTAAACATGTAGCCCACACTCGCTGTTGCTCCGAATCTCATTGCATCTTATCCTCGCTCATCGGATTCACCCTCGTGCATGTTGAACGCCATTTAGAACTCGAAGATACGCTATAGAGACGCGTCGACCGCGTCTTCGTCGCGTCCGTTTATTCTCGACTTTCGAGAGGTTCTGGAAGAGCAGGAGAATGAATGGGAGATGGCAGCTGTGTGTAACTCGTACGAGAACTATTCTGTATCAAGCTCGCGCAGAACCGCGTCGCGTCCTGAGCTTGTCACTCCGTGACGGCTATTATTTGGGCGCGTTTCGCGCTATCTGAGCCTTGCTGCTTGATGTGCTCGGATTTTCTTCGAGAAAAAAATATATTCAGTTATGGTACGTCTATCTAACGTCTACCTAGCCATACCGAAGGGAAGAAACGGGTGGGATGGGGTCAACGGACGTCGCCGGGCTGCCGCCAGCCAGCAGCGATGACGTACCGGGTCTGGGGGCCACGCGAGCGGCTCGATGAAGGTCGAACGAGTGGCGTTTTTGCACTGCTCGTGTCGTGCGCGCTGGCATCGGGGAATACTGCCGCCAACGTTCAGTATACCCAGTGCCTCGACCACGTAGACTCTGTACCACCAGCCTGCAGTTGTTATCAACAGAGACTTCGGACGTTATGAATAGCACCCAGGAGGGCTAAAGACGCGGACGTGCGGCGGGACGGGCCGAGCTCGGCACAGCGCGCGGAGGAGAGCTTTGAACCCGAACCACGACAGCCCTTCGATCGTCTCATAGAAGACTGGAACAGCCGTAAGGCTGTGCAGTGTGTAAGGTCGTTCTGCCTCGATGCCTCAATGCGTATATGTTCATATAGTGCGGTTGACGACCAAATTTAGCCGCCATGCAGTCACGGCAGTTTAGCGCTTACACCGCACCCAATCTGTATCTTATCCGGTCCTCAATGACCCTCAACATTCAACATCCAACGCCGCCACTTGACCTACTCTTTCTGCGCTTCTCGACATGCTCGGGTGACATGCGGCCGGGAGATCTGCGTCTCTCGGAAAGGCTTGGACCTTAAGGCCACAAACTTCAACCGGCATACGCCGCCTTCGCTCAATTGCAAGATCTGTGGACTATCCCGATCCATGCAGCCAAACGCGTCGGTGACCTAGACTCCTGACCATTCAAAACTCACGCTTTGATTGATTTGATCGTTGCCGCTGTTTCGAAGGTTATGGAGTGAAGACCTGTATTCGATACCCCGTAATGTTGCTACCGTTTCATACCTTGTCTCCTACACCGGAGCGCTGACCCACCCGGCAGAGGATCATTCCCACTGGCCAACTATGCCTTTGGACACAGGTACCTGTCAGGCTACTATCTGTATTGAGGTCGCTGCGATGAATATGACTTTCTAAGTGACGCCTTCTATACCTTCATCGCACAGCCGCCCATAGGCGTGCGGGCACCTGCGGGCACTT